ACCACCGACTACGATAACTGCAACACAACAATAATGACGGCACAACTTATTCTTCTAACTAAACCAATACTTTGTAATTTGGCAGCAATTCCACTAACTCACCAAGCAAATTAAGAGCACATACCAACAAGTAAACTACTATGTAGAAGTTACGAGTACCTTTTGCACAGATACCAACGAATTCTGCAATTCATCCGCTTGAGTACGAATAAGGATTTTTTTTTTTCTTCTTATCAATCGTGTAAGTCGAGAGAACTTACAAAACCTAGGCTCTTGATACCAATTTGATGTGTATTTTGACGGTTTATATTTGATGGAAGGATTTGAGTGATTTTAATGGTGGAAATTTGAAAGATAGTCTTAGAAGGCAACGACTTCTAAGTTTGATTTTAGGAGTAACGATCCCAAAACCCTAGTTAACAACTAGTTTGAACCTTAACAAAGTTCTCTTCAAGCAAAAGCTCAATAATCTCAAATTATAATTCATAAAACATCCTGTTAAAATAATTGACATACAACTAGTATATATAGGAAAAATAAATCTATCCTACTTGCCCTGCAAGAAAACTAAATAAAAAGCCCTAATAATTAATTAATGAACCAAGAGAGCCCACTAATTAATTAACACAACTTTGGAAGCCCAAGGCCCCATAACTACTACTAAGAAAATAATAAAAACATTATTAAAAACTCACTTGTAAAACCCCTACTTTAAGAGTAAGGTAAAACCAAGAGAGTACCTAAATAAAGCAATAAAAATAGTTATAAGGAAGGGGACTCGATTCACATCATTCCCTCCCTCTTAAAAAAAAACTTGCCCTCAAGTTTCGTTCGGAAGACAAGGTACCAAGTCACTAGCCCTCATAGTAGCGCAAATTCCCGCTCCAAGAAGTACTTGAAAAGTATCATAATTCTCCCTATGCACAATCTTGAAAGGTCCTTCCTCTAATGGTTCATTCTTACCTCTAGAATTATTAAAGATTTTTTGAGCATTTAAAGATAAGAAAACATACTCACCAATCTCAAAAGGGTGTTGGTTTCTCAATGACAACATATTAGCCCTTCTTTCCTTTTTGTTAAGTTTAGGCATAATCAACAACTCTCTAGCAGGAGCTTGAATAGGTGGCGCCTTAGGGGGTAAAGGATGTAATTGGACTCTCTTATCCCCAACCTTCACTGAATAAACATTTGTAACACCATTAAATAACACCCCTCGATCATATTGCCAAGGACGACCCAAGAGTATAGAACAAGCAGTCATAGGTAAAATATCACACCATACACTATCAGAATATGAACCCATGGAAAAGTTCACCAAAGCTTGCCTTTTAACTTGTAGTCCATCTCCATCATGTAACCAATTAAGCTTGTAAGGAGTAGGATGGTCCCTAGTAGAAAGATTCATAGTGTCAACCAACTTAGTAGATGCAACATTGGTGCACGATCCCGTATCTATAATCAACGAGCAACTCCTATCACCCACTTTGCATATAGTATGGAACAAATTTTCCCTTTGCTCATGTGTAGTAGGAGGAACAAAATTAGCATGCAAAACTCTCCTTAAGATACCGATATGGTGATGTTCAGGTTCAGGAGTAATCTTTTCTTGACCCTCAAACTCTTCAAAATCAAACTCTTCCTCTGTATTGAGCAAACATGTACTCTCCTTCTCTTTCTCTTCTTGGTCAAGATAAGCCAACAACATTCTATGTTCCTTCTTGGATACCGTCACTTTGTTACCACAATCTCTAGCAATGTGTCCCATGCCTTGACACTTGAAACAAACTTTTTTCGCCAATGCAGCTTGTTCGGGAGTAACAACAATCATCTTCCCTTCATTGTTTGAATTGTTAGAGTTGATATTCGAACCCTCACCATTAAAGAATGACTTCCTCTCCTTGAAATAAGAAATTTTCTTTTCTTTCTCCTGTTTCTCAAATCTCTCTGCCAACCTTAAGACATCATCAAAGAACACATAATTTGATGTTTCCACCTTGTGAGAAATCGAAGGTGTTAACCCTTTTATGTATCGTCCAATCTTCATCTCCTCTTTTTCCTGCAAATCACAAAGCATGCACAATTTCTCAAACTCTTTAGTGTATTCAGCGACACTAAGATTCTTTTGTTCAAGATGATTCAACTTCAAGAATTGATCTTGGACAAATTCCCGTGGTAGGAACCGTTTCCTTAATTGTCTCTTCAACTCGTTCCAAGTATTAATTCGTGGCTCATCTTCTCTCAATCTCTTGGCACGTAAATTCTCAAACCATAGAGAAGCATATCTCGTCAGTTTTAGGTTTGCAACCTTGTAGGCTTTTTGCTCATCAAAACCTTTATAATCAAAGACCTTTTCCATCTGACGAACCCAATCTAAAAAGTCTTCGGCATCCCCATCACCTGTAAATTCCGGAAGTTCCAACAACTTCAAATCTCGATCATTGTCAATTGGAAAATTTCTCATGATTCCCCTAGGTTGTTCGTTGTTGATTATTCTTCCTTCCCCAATCACTTGAGTAGACAAAGTTTCAACCCTTTGATTGGTTTGAGCAATTTCTTGTGTACTCTTCTCAATTTTCTCATTCATTCGTTCAAGACTCGCATTAAAATTTCTCATCATATCAACAAGCATAGTATCCAGATCTTCCTTTGTTAAAGTACTCATGATGTCAAAATAATCACAGTCCTATTCGTGGCCAATTATCTCCAAAAATAATAATCTTGCAGCAAGTCGTACTAAAGGCAATAAAAATATTTTGATAAAGCAAACAAAGCAACTAATTACCAAAATACAATCACCTTAAATTAGTATGCTTTAAAATTCAATTAATACCACCGACTACGATAACTGCAACACAACAATAATGACGGCACAACTTATTCTTCTAACTAAACCAATACTTTGTAATTTGGCAGCAATTCCACTAACTCACCAAGCAAATTAAGAGCACATACCAACAAGTAAACTACTATGTAGAAGTTACGAGTACCTTTTGCACAGATACCAACGAATTCTGCAATTCATCCGCTTGAGTACGAATAAGGATTTTTTTTTTTCTTCTTATCAATCGTGTAAGTCGAGAGAACTTACAAAACCTAGGCTCTTGATACCAATTTGATGTGTATTTTGACGGTTTATATTTGATGGAAGGATTTGAGTGATTTTAATGGTGGAAATTTGAAAGATAGTCTTAGAAGGCAACGACTTCTAAGTTTGATTTTAGGAGTAACGATCCCAAAACCCTAGTTAACAACTAGTTTGAACCTTAACAAAGTTCTCTTCAAGCAAAAGCTCAATAATCTCAAATTATAATTCATAAAACATCCTGTTAAAATAATTGACATACAACTAGTATATATAGGAAAAATAAATCTATCCTACTTGCCCTGCAAGAAAACTAAATAAAAAGCCCTAATAATTAATTAATGAACCAAGAGAGCCCACTAATTAATTAACACAACTTTGGAAGCCCAAGGCCCCATAACTACTACTAAGAAAATAATAAAAACATTATTAAAAACTCACTTGTAAAACCCCTACTTTAAGAGTAAGGTAAAACCAAGAGAGTACCTAAATAAAGCAATAAAAATAGTTATAAGGAAGGGGACTCGATTCACATCAGAGCCATGGATACCTTCATACCTTATTGTTATCTTATAGCATGATTCTTGTTACCATTATTCAGTACCACATATTAGGCTATGTTCCCTTCAATGTTTTTTAAAAAAAATCTAAATTTTTATTTTTTTATTTTTTTATTTTTTTATTGAACTTAGTTTTCTTTTGTTTAAATATTTGCTAAAAATTAACTTATTTTGGTTGACGTAAGTTATTTTTGCTAACCTTTTCCTTGATTTTGGCTTTGCCTAGATAGAGTACTCCGTATTTATTAAAAATCAGTTTCAATAAGGAAGATAATTTCTTGATTAGCAAAATGATGAGACATCGTTGGTATGATTTCAAATCCATCGTCCAGTACTCATGGTAATTTTACCAATTTTACCATTCATATGACCATACCCAATCATTATCTACTAAAGTCGTACTCGTATCCGCTTTAATTGGACAGGTGTGAATGTGTGACTTAGAATCTACATAATTGTACAAATCTACCATTTATATTCTTGGAATCTCTTACTACTTTTTCTTTTTGAAAAGGAAAATTTTAACCTGATCGTAGGAAGGGCATTTCAGACATTATACTCTAAAAATATGTAGTATGTAAAAATACGGAGTACGTAGTAACTTTTTATCATGTACTCGTAAAAATAAGGTGAAGTACACATTAATGGGGTGGTGGTCAAAGTTTCCATTAAGTCAAAATGTAGGGCAAACCAGCATTTGTATTTCTACGGAAATATATAATCGCAATATAAATGGCCTTGCAGTTGGATCATAAATGCGAACAACCAACAAATAAGAGATTATTGCAGTGGACAAAATTCTATACTGCAATTCAACAAGTAGCGACTAATAATTATCTGTTGTAATTGTTAGCCGCATTAAGAAGTTAATAGTCACTCCACTTTTTTGTTATTGATTGTTTTATATTAGTATTGACTTTAACGCTATTTACATGTATTACTATGGTCATTTTTATCAACTTCATAATAAAAATGTTATTTGTAAAATATACTTGTAATTGATTTTTTTTTTCCTACTTTACAATAAAAAAAATTATTGAATTTTTATTAGTGTAAATGTTCAAATTTGTACATTAACAAGCACAAAAATCTATAAAACTATTTCTTAAAAAAAATGGAAGAATAGATTGCATTACTACTCTAATAAACAAATGCAACAATGGTATCTTAATAATCTTATGCTTTCTATTTCACAAGTTATCTGGGGATAGAATATCGATCCTTTATTTCTGTACAAAATATAAATACAGTAATTAAAAAAAAAAAAAAAAAAAAAAAAAGCCATTCAGTAATTTAAAATGAAAAATTGAAATGACAAACATAAATGATAAGGATTGTGAAGGGGAGTTAAATACCTGTTCAACCATCAACTAACAGACCTTGCTATCTCAACATTAATGTGATGCATCTTGTATAGCAAAGGCCCATACATACACACTGCAGCCTTCACATCTTTTGTACCACAACCAAGCACAAAATTAACTTTGGCATGATCCTAATTCTATAATCTTAGTGGTGAGAAATCAGTGACTTTTTTTCTGTAGAGTAACAAGTTAGAAGTTTTGGTGCTGAAATGGGTAGTAGAGAAATCAGGTCTCCTGAAGATCAAGTCATTGGAACACCAACTTCTATGCAAAATTTCAAGAGAAAGAAGCTTGGAACCTATTTCATCGAGTCCGACGACAGACGAGGTGCACTTGGTGGAGGTTATACCGTAGGGAGTACTCCTGTTAACCTTCACCGGAAACCCATGTCTGAAGCTGATATTTCTAAGACTGGTGGTTGGGTTGCTGCTTTTTTCATCTTTGGTACTTTTACTCTGCTTTTTTCTTACGATAATTTTTCAGATTTTACTGGTTCAAGTTCACTGAAGGATTGTTTCTTTCATGTTTTTACCGTTCTTGCAGGAAACGAGATGGCTGAGAGAATGGCTTACTTTGGTTTATCAGTGAACATGGTTGCTTTTATGTTCTATGTTATGCATCGGCCCTTCTCGAGTTCTGCCAATGCCGTCAATAATTTCCTGGGAATATCACAAGTGTCGTCTGTACTCGGTGGTTTTCTAGCTGATGCTTATCTTGGTCGATATTGGACTATTGCAATTTTTACAACCATCTATCTTTTGGTAACCACTTTCGTACCTGAATCAGATCATCCCTTCTTTATCTCCTGCAATTTCCAATAGATTCATTATTTTTAGTTAAATTTTTCTCTGATTTTTCTTGTATGCATTGAATTTGAAGGGGTTAACAGGGATAACGTTATGTGCAACTATGAAGTTGTTTCTGCCAAGCCAAGAACAATGTGATCAGATAGCAATCCTTCTAGGAAACTGTGAGCCGGCGAAGCCATGGCAAATGCTATTCCTCAACACGGTTCTCTATATAACAGGGTTCGGAGCAGCAGGCATAAGGCCGTGTGTCTCTTCGTTCGGAGCTGATCAATTTGATGAAAGAAGTAGAGATTACAAAGCTCACCTGGACAAGTTCTTCAACGTATTCTATCTGTCTGTCACCTTCGGGGCTATCATAGCGTTTACTGCAGTCGTCTATATACAAATGCACTATGGATGGGGATCCGCGTTTGGTTCGTTAGCCTTGGGTATGGGCATCTCTAATGCACTATTCTTTATCGGCACTCCTACTTACAGGCATAGGTTGCCCGGGGGCAGCCCTTTGACACGCATCGCACAAGTTCTGGTTGCAGCCTTCAGAAAAAGAAATGCTTCTTTCTCCAGCAGTGAGATGGTTGGCTTGTATGAGCTTCCAGGAAAAAGATCTGCTATCAAAGGCAGTGCAAAAATTGAACACACTGATGACTTCAGGTAAACGACCTCGTTCCCACTTTTATTAACAATCATTCAGTCCCACAAACTAATAATAATAATAATAATAATAATAATAATAATAATAATAATAATAATAATAATAATAATAATAATAATAATAATAATAATAATAATAATAATAATAATAATAATAATAATAATAATAATAATAATAATAATAATAATAATAATAATAATAATAATAATAATAATAATAATAATAATAATAATAATAATAATAATAATAATAATAATAATAATAATAATAATAATAATAATAATAATAATAATAATAATAATAATAATAATAATAATAATAATAATAATAACGAACATACTGCTGCTGTAGATGTCTGGACAAAGCAGCCCTAAAGTTGCCGGAAGATGGCCCAGATCCAAACCCTTGGAAGCTTTGCACAGTAACTCAAGTGGAGGAAGTCAAAATTTTGCTAAAACTCTTGCCAATACCAGCTAGCACCATTATGCTGAGTCTCATCTTAACAGAGTTCTTGACTCTGTCTGTTCAACAAGCATACACTTTGAATACTCACATAGGCCGTCTCAAAGTCCCAGTGACCTGCATGCCTGTGTTTCCTGCCCTAAGCATATTCTTTGTGCTTTCCCTTTATTACTACATATTTGTCCCAATATCAAGGCGCATCACAGGACATCCTCATGGAGCCTCTCAGCTTCAAAGGGTTGGCATTGGCATGGTAATCTCTATCCTCTCAGTCGCATGGGCTGGGGTGTTTGAGAGGTTCAGGAGAAATTATGCAATAAAACATGGGTATGAGTCCAGCTTTCTAAGTCCAATGCCAGATCTGAGTGCTTTTTGGCTGCTAATACAGTACTGCCTCATCGGAATAGCTGAAGTCTTCTGCATTGTGGGATTGCTGGAGTTCTTATACGAGGAGGCTCCTGATGCCATGAGAAGCATTGGATCTGCCTATGCAGCAGTAGCTGGGGGTTTGGGTTGCTTTGCTGCAACCATTTTGAACAATATTGTTAAAGCTGCCACCGCAGATAATGAATCAAAGGGCCATTCTTGGTTATCCCAGAATATCAACACAGGAAGATTTGATTATTTTTACTGGCTTCTTACAGGACTCAGTATTATCAATTTCTGTGGTTTCCTCTATGCTGCCCACAGATACAAATACAGAGCAGTCCACGCGGGACAATAATAGAAGGCAGGAGCATCCGAGTCAACCCCATATTTAAGAATGAATTTATATATTGTGTTCAATCAGGTTGATTTAGGACTGAAATTTTAATTATTTAAGCCCAGTATTTGACTTTTGTTATACTGCATTTCTGTAGCCTTTGAACAAAACATCAAACATTCTTACTCCATAGTAACACCAAATAGAAATGTACAAAGGAAGAATGTATCCGTAGATTACCTGTTATGTTGACAGATATTCCGGTGTGAATTAGTTTCTAAATTTTGCATTTGATGGTAGCAACTGCCAAGACAGGAATTGAAGCAAGTAAAATCTCCAGTTACAAGCCTTTAATTCATCGAGCTCTATTTAGCTACCAGAAGCAGGCCAACCATGAACAAGGAGCAAGACAGGCTATCAGCTTTCACAGAGAGTAACCCAGGACCATATCGTAGCAGCTTACATATTTGATCATTGTTGCTCCAACTCTCCACTTGTATTGATGTATTCGTGTTAGACATGTATATATTGATGCTTGGGTATGATCTTTAAGTAATAGGGAACTAAGGCATAGAGAAGCTTGACGTGACCATATCAGAAAAAATCTAAGAACACTGACTAACTGACATATGATCACTATGGCTATAAATCAAGACCATCAATGCAAGATACATTGATAAGTTAATCTAGTTTATTTAACACCATTGACACATAAAAGCAAAATCCACAAATGAACCCAAGCAAAATCTAAAGGAAAAACACAAGAAACAACAGCAGCTGCATTAAAAAAAAATAAAAAATAAATAAATAAACAATTAAAAAAAATACAGAAACAAAAAGGATCATGTAAAGGCCAATGGCATTGTATTTCTAAGAAACTGCTGTGGGTATCCAGCAATTTGCTGCTGCTTCTCCTCCTTGTTAAAGCAGTAAACCGGGGCCTGCCACCGGGAATCCTCCAGCACAGCACCCTCTTCAAAGGTCATCACATGAGTGGCTATACCTGCCAAATAACAAACCGAAACAATTTCACGGTTTTTCACTTTTCAATAACAAACTAACCAGCACATCACAGAAGATTGAAAGTCTGAAAAACCAAAAAAAGAAATATACCATCATAGAAGAGCCAGTAAACAGGCCTGCGCGTAACAACATCCTCATAGTACCAAATGAAGTCCACTTTCTCCCAAACATTACAAAGAAAGCCATCCATATGTTGCTGACCCAAATAGGTAGCACCTTCAAGCCAATTTGGTCTCAAAATTCCCACTTCAAAAAGCATTGTCCGGCATTCAGAAGTAGCATCAAGTGTATAATAGTAAGAAGTGCCATTATTCCATTCTACATCGTACAAAAGCTTGCCCAATTGTTTTTGAATAAGATTCAAGTTACGACGATTTGGCCAATCATACCATAAATCAGTCACCTGCAAGTGATTCGTCTTTGTGCTGTTCATCACCAACACTGAGTGGAATTGCTCTGGCCATGCCTTTGGTTTTGGGTCTTCGTCTGTAATTCTGTTACTACTCGCATTTGTTAAGATCAAGCAGAGAATCATCATCATACTCATCATCTTCATCTTCTTCTTCAGAATACAATTCATCATTCTTGGCTATGTGTCTCTAATTTTAGAGTATCATCCACAAACAGTTGTGCCTTATCATCACAGCTCTCTCTTTTTTTTAACCACATCATAAACACATTTTTCACTTGTTAATTTCTGGTAATAAAAGACAAAAATGATAGGGCCTACTGCCTAGTCTCTATTTTATACTATTATATATACTCCTTTGTCCCTTAATGTTTTTCTCATTGTCAAATTTCACGGGAATTAAAAAATGGAACGAGAAGTAAAGTACATAATTAATTAAATGATTTAAATGAGAATCAATCAAAGATTGTCACGTAGCATAATTAACCTTAATAACTAACGGAGTTAAAGGCGTTAGTCACTTAGGGTATTTGGTGATATTTTCATGAAACTCATGAGTATATGTTGAATTTGAAAACTTTGATAGGTATATGGTAAATTAAGTGATAACCCAGGGTATTTCGTGAAAAATCCGTAGATGATAAGTTAATATCATATGATTTAAGGTGTTAATTATATTAAAACAAGGGTTTGTTAGTAAATTTACACAAAAAAAATTACTATAAAAGAAAGAGTTTTTTTGTTGCACATAAGACATAACTAGTAATATCCCGTTACGGCAAAAGTTGCACAAAATAAGAAACCAATGTAGTATATAACAATCAACGCACCAAAGTGAAATCATAAAACAACAGGGCACCATAATGCGTGATACAAAGTTGAAAAGGTCATGACACCAAAGTGAAAATATTAAAACCACAAGGCACTAAAGTATAATTATGTCACTACTAACTCAAGTAAGCAAAATGAATAAAAATTGGGATCAGACACAGCCTCACACCCAACTCGCTCTACATTATTCTTCTAAAATTGCTCGCCGGCGGCCGAATCAACCCTTTGGTCGCCGGCAAGCCCTTCAAACGGTGACAAGGAGCTGTATTCTAATCCCTTCCATTGTTTCTGCTAATTATTACAGGTACACCTATTTCTGTCTTTTTCCATGGTCCTGAGAAAAGCAAGTAAAATCTCCAGTTACAAGCCTTTTCATTCTACAGCTCACTGCTCATCTCAATCTTACCCAAGAACTACCTTCAGCCCTTCAGGCGTTGCAACAATAATTTATCCAGCTCTATTGCGGCTACCAGAAGCAGGCCAACCATGAACAAGATGCAAGTCAGACTCTTAGCTTTCACATAGAGTAACCCAGGACCATATCGTAGCAGCTTACATATTTGATCATTGTTGCTCCAACGGTCCAACCCTCACTTGTATTGATGTATTCATGTTAGACATGTATATATTAATGCTTGGGTATGATCTTATAAGTAATAGAGAAGCATAGAGAAGCTTGGCGTGACCATATCAGATTATCAGATACTTTTAAAGAGTCTACCCCTACAACTAATCCAAGAACAAAGACTGACTCACAGATAATCATCACTCTGGTTAATTTTCCAGCAGGATTGCAGCAATTACTACTCCCAAGCTGAAGCCTTTGCTACAGACACCATATGGACCGATTGAAAAAATGATACCGTAGTATGATCTTGTAAATACTAGGGAAACATAGTTAAAGCTTTACTTGTCCATATTGGATACTATTAAGTTCCAAAACTTCTAAAGAGTCCTAGGAAGATTGACTGTGACATACCTATGTAAATGGGAATTTCCCTGCCCTACAAGCAAAATCCATCTAGAAACAGCCACACTTCTTATAGTGTTATACAGTGTTTGAGTCCAGCCAGGTTCAAGCCAAATACCTAACTGAATGCCCTGCCTACAACTGATATGACTCTGGAATCTCAAACCCTCTCTTAATACAATTGACATCATTTTCTCAGAGGGAGGTCAATTTCAAAGATTCCCCTAGGCTCTTTGCCAAAGCGTTCAAGTCTAAAAGATGTCAACATGAACATATCAGGTTATAGTCTAGGGGATCTTTCCCATTCATCCAATTACAAAAGCTCGAAAGGCATCCAGCAAACATCTGAAAGGAGATCATAACAGTTACTAGCCACCCTCGTCTAATTGTTAGTGAGCAGACATGCTGACGATGCTGTGTGACTTTCTGATAAATCAAGATCATCAATGCAAGATACATTGATAAGTTAATCTAATTTATTCAACACCATTGACACAGAAAGCAAAGTCCACACAAATAAACCTATACCGAAAACTAAAGAAAAACCACAAGAAACAGCAGCAGCATAAAAAAAACAGAAACACAAAAGAAATCATGTAAAGACCAGTGGCATTATATCTCTAAGAAACTGATGTGGGTATCCATCAATTTGCTGCTGCTCCTCCTTCTCCTCCTTCTTGTTAAAGCAGTAAACCGGGGCCTGCCACTGCGAATCCTCCAGGACAGCACCCTCTTCAAAGGTTATCACATGAACAGCTCTACCTGCCAAATAACAAACCAAATCGATTTCGGGGTTTTTTCACTATTCAATAACAAACAATCAAGCACATCACAGAAGAAAGAAAATCCGCAAAGCCCAAAAAGAAATATACCAGTATAGAAGAGCCAGTAAACAGGCCTGCGCGTTACAACATCCTCATAGTACCAAAGAAAATCCACTTTCTGCCAAACATTGCAAAGAAACCCATCCATATGTTGCTGACCCAGATAAGTAGCGCCTTCAAGCCAATTGGGTCTCAAAATTCCCACATCGAAAAGAACTGTCCGGCATTCAGAAGTAGCATCAAGTGTATAATAGTAAGAAGTGCCATTATTCCACTCTACATCGTAGAGTAACTTACCCAATTGTTTTTGAATGAGATTCAAGTTACGACCATTTGGCCAATCATACCATAAATCAGTCACCTGCAATTCATTTTTCTTTGTGTTGTTTATCACCAAGACTGAGTGGAATTGCTCCGGCCATGGCTTCGGTTTCGGGTCTTCGTCTTTTTTCTCTGTAATTCTGTTACTGCTCGCATTTGTTAGCACCAAGCAGAAAATCATCATAATAATCGTCGTCTTCATCTTCTCTTTCAGAATACAATCCATCATTCTGGGCTATTCTATGGACTTTTCTATCTTTATTTTGAGAGTATTATCCACAATCAACTGCGTCTTATCATCCCAGCTTTCTTTCCAATTAATTGGCATAAACCCACTTTTTACTTTGTTAATTTTCAGTTAATAAAAGACAAAAGTGATCGGGCAAAATCCCTATTACAATTTACAAGTATATTGCATCTGTTCCATAACAAATTAACAATAGTTTCACAGTTAATTTTTCATTTATTACGGACTTTAGCGGTTTTGTGGAAAACACTTTCTTTTTCTTTTTCGAGAGTGGAAAACACTACTTCAAGTAGTGGTTATGGGATAAACTTTTATTTCAAGTAGCGGTTTTAAGGCAAAACCAATACTTAAAATAACGGTTTTGTCCAATTTTGAACGTAATCAAATAAGACTACAAAGATAAAAAAAATTTCGTTTTTAAAATGAGTATTAATATAACTGAGTATATTTCTAGGCACCACCAAAGTGAAATTGTCAAATTACAAGACACTATAGTGAAACAAAGTTTAAAAGGTCACAGCACCAAAGAGGAATTATTAGAACCACATCACTAAAGTGTAAATGTAATTATATTAAACCTTAAGGCATCAAAGTGAAATTTTTTCATAATTATCATTTAATTTAAAAATATGGTAAATCACTAATTTGATGAATAAAAAATCAAGTCATTGATTAAATTGCTATTGATCTTTTTGTTGATTTCTCAATCGGTGATGGAATCTTGAAGAGGCATTAACTAGTTGGTTAGAAATTTAGGGTATGAAATTTCAAAAGAAAGGTAAATGAGGAGACTATCATTGTATAATGCAATCTAAAATCATACAGTACCTAAAATAAACAAGCATTGAAGCATAGCTATATCCAATCAAACTACTACTTTAAATAAACAAGCATAGCTATATCTAAGTATCCAATCAAACTACTTCCGAATCATGTCATTTGACAAGACAAACTCAGACGAATCCCCCGATGGGTTTACTAACTTGTACGTACTAATCATAAACTCAGGAGAGAATTACAGTAATAGTAAGAAGTGCCACTATTCCATTCTACATCAAACAGTAACTTGCCCAATTGTTTTTGAATGAGGTTCAAGTTACGACCATTTGGCCAATCATTCCATAAATCAGTCACCTGCAAGTGATTCTTCTTTGTGTTGCACATCATCAACACTGAGTGGAATTGCTCCGCCCATGCCTTTGGTTTTGGGTCTTACGGTGTGTTCGGATAAAGAAATGGGAAAGAAAAGAAGGAGAGGGAAGAAAGATGACTTTTCCTTCCAATGGAGAGATTAATTTCTTACAATTTAATCATTCCATTTCTATGCCCTCCAATTCCTTTCCTTCCTCATTTATTATCCAAATGAAAGATAATCAATCCCTCCATTTCCCTTCCCTTCTTTTTCCTCCATTTCCTTCAATCCAAACAAAGTGTTAGTCTGTAATTTTGTTGCTACTCACATTTGTTAGCACCAAGCAGAGAATCATCATCATAATCATCTTCATCTTCTTCTTCAGAGTACAACAATTCATCATTATTGTTGCACATAACTTGTAATATCTCGTTTAAAAGGTCACATCTCAACCAGGCACAGACACCATATGGTCCAATTATAAAAATGATATGATCTTATAAATACTAGGGAAACATAGTTAAGCTTTACTTGCCAATCTGAAATACTAAAAAGTACCGACACTTCTAAAGAATCCTAGAAAGATTGACGGCAACATTCCTATGTAAATGGGAATTTCCCTGCCTACAAGCAATTTCCATCCAGGAACAGCCACACTTCGTTAATATAGTGTTTTACAGTGTTTAAGTTCAGGTGTTCAAGCCAAATACCTAACTGAATTCCCTGCCTACAACTGATATGACTCTGCAATCTCAAACCCTCTCTCAATAGAATTGACATCATTTTCTCAGAGGGAAGCCAATTCCAAAGATTCCCCTAGGCTCTTAGCCAAAGTGTTCAAGTCCAAAAGATGAATCCAATTACAAAAGCTCGAAAGGCATCCAGCAAACATCGAAGAAAAGGTCATAACAGTTACTAGCCACCCTCGTCTAATTGTTAGTGATCAGACATGCTGCGTGATTTTCCAACATATCAAGACCATCAATGATACATTAATAAGTTAATCTAATTTATTCAACAACATTGACACAGAAAGCGAAGTCCAAGAATGAACCTAAAGGAAAAACTAAAGAAACACCACATGAAACAGCAACAGCAGCATAAAGAAACAGAAACAGAAAAGGGATCATGTAAAGGCTACTGGCATTGTATCTCTAAGAAACTGATGTGGGTATCCAGCAGTGTCCTGCTCCTCCTCCTCCGCCTTCTTGTTAAAGCAGTAAACCGGGGCCTGCCACCGCGAATCCTCCAAAACAGCACCCTCTTCAAAGGTCATCACATGAGCGTATAAACCTGCCAAATAACAAACCGAATCGAATTCAGGGTTTTTCACTTTCCAATCTCTATTTTGAGTAATTTGAGAGTATTATCCACAATCAACTGCGTCTTATCATCCCAGTTTTCTTTCCCATTATTTGGCATTAACCCACTTTTTACTTTGTTAATTTCCACTTAATAAAAGACAAAAGTGATGGGGCAAATGCTCTGTTGTACTTCGTATTTCAAATTTACAATTTACAATTTACAATTATATAAGTACATTGCATCTTCTTGTAAAAAAAAAAAAAAAAAAAAAAAAAAAAAAAAAAAAAAAATTTGCATCTATTACTTCCTCCGTTCTTTTTTACTTGACCCGCTGAAAAATATCATGTTGGATCTTTTTTAATTCGTCTCAATAAGTACTATCATAATATATAATTTTTATATTTTTTACTTATGGAGAATTAAAGTTATTGATCGTTAAAGTTTTGCATTGGCAAGCGTGATAAAAGAAACAGATCAAGTAAAAAAGAACAGAGGAAATAGATTTTACAGGCGATAGTTTCACGAGGCCGCCCCGGATAATTATTCATAGTTTCACAAGGCCGACCTAGTTAATTTTTCGTTTATCATGAAACAAAAGTAGCAGTTTTGAGGAAAACACTACTTTAGGTACCTGTTTTAGAATAAACTATTACTTTAAGTAGCGGTTTTAAGGAAAAATCATTATTGATTCAAATACTTGTTTAGTTTCGTTTTTGGTTTTCAGTTTCTTGATTTTTTGAAAACAAAAAACCAAAAAAGGAAGCAAGAAAAGGTATTTCCACTTTTGAGTTGGTAAATCATGATTTTAATAAGTTTGATCAAATTTTAATTTATTATATGATTTGAAAAACAAAAATCAGATTACCAAGCGGTTTTGTCCATTTTTTAATATAATCAAATAAGACTATAAAGATAATTTTTATTTTTTTTTCAAAAAAAAAAAAAAAAAAAAAAAAAAAAAAAAAAAAAAAAACTTGAGCATTAAGCCATTAATATATTTCTAAGCGCCACCAAAGTGAAATTGTCAAACCACGAGACACTATAGTGAAACAAAGTTTAAAAGGTCATAGCACCAAAGAGGAATTATTAAACGGATTTTTCACCATATACCACTGAGTTAATGCATAATTCACCATATACCACATGAAACTTTCTAATACACCACGTACCACTCAATTAATGTACATTAACACAAAATGCCTTTTTTGGTAACTGCCGTTAACGGCGTTAGTAATTAAGGTTAATTGTGCCACGTGGCTGTCATTTATTGGCTCTTATTAATATTAACTAACTTTTAAAAAATAAAACACCACCGACGCCCCCAACCCAGCCCCGACCCCCACCCTCAGCTGGCCGGCGCCTGGTCCACTTCCTGGCTGGCTGGTGACCATCCCCCTCTCCCGTCAGCGTCAACCCCGACCTCTGCCACCACCTTATTACAACCACCACCTTAGCCAAATTCCCCAACCACCACCTTAGCCCAATTCCCCACTCCTAGCCTAAAACCCAGCCACCACCCCGAAATCCCTTCGCCGACAGCCCCTCTTCCCCTTCCCCTCCCTTTTCCGACCACCCCCTCCCCCTCCTTTCCCAACCAATTTCTTCAGCATCGCAAATTCACAGGCGAAGGGTTTGGGGGTGATAGAGAGGGAATAAGAGTTTGGGGTGATAGAGAGGAAATAAAGGGTGCAGTGGTGAGGACTTCAGCCGATTTCAAGGGTTTCGTGGGTTGGGGATGGCCAGAAAGGGACGGGATAGGGGTTACTGCCATGGATTGTTATCTATGCTCTCAAGAGCAGCAACAAACTCAGGGAAGAAAAACCAGAAGACGGAGGAACCGAGGTGGCCTGACCGTGTTTTGCACTTCTTGATTTGCTGCGAAAACAGACTGATTGTTTGTTGGGTTGAAAGCTGGATTTGGGGGAATTTCTAGGCAGCAACAGGGCGTGAGTTCAAAGGCTTGGCTTGGGAGTTTTCTAGGCAGCGAGCCAGAAGAAAACCAGCAGTAGCCGTGAAGAAGCAGAAGGCAGCAGCCGCCGAAGAAGAGGTGAATCAGTAGCTGGGCACGACGGTTCAGGGGAAGGGGAGGAGCGCCAGCGGGGTTCCTGGTTGGAAACCTGCCGGCGAGGGGGTTCTGGTCTTCCGTGCTGGCGGGGGTGTCGGTGGTGGCTGGTTTATTTATTTATTTATTTTTAATTTTTTGATAATTAATTAAATAATTATTTTTAAATTAAATAATTTAGAAGGGAACCAATTACAAGCTGCCACATGGCACAATTAACGTTAATGACTAACTGAGTTAACGGAAATGGCATGTTGTAACATTTATGTTAAACTCAGTGGTACATGGTGTATTAGAAAGTTTCGTGTGGTATATGGTGAATTATGCATTAACTCAGTGGTATATGGTGAAAAATCCGATTATGAAAACCACATGGCATTTAAGTGTAATTATATCAAACCTTAAGACATCATTAAACTTAAATATATGCTAAATCACTAATTTGATGAATAAAAAATCAAGTCATTGATTAAATTGCTATTGATCTTTTTGTTTGATTTCTCAATCAGTGATGGAATCTTGAAGAGGTAGGTATTTACTCGTTGGTTAGGATATGAAATTTCAAAAGAAAGGTAAATGATGGGACTATCATTTTGCATAAAGATACTAATAGAATTTTTGATTTTAGCTTACATATGCAATCTAAAATCCGAATCATGTCATTTGATAAGGCAAAGTCAGACAAATCCCCCGATGGGTATACTAACTTGTACTAATCGTAAACTCATTGTTTGGCTTTACTTTCAGGAGAGAATTACAGCTCTCAAAAGCATCAAGCTTTCACCTGATGCTCATTCAATGTCAACATGTATGATATGTCATGTGACACATCTTTATCTAGACATGATTGTATGTACATCAAAATCCAGAATAAACATGGGAAAAATGAATTACTCCTCGTGATATAAATACAACCCAAGCCCAAAACGAGCACAGGCCCTGACAAAGGCAATCTCTTCTGCGGCAGCAACTGGATCAGCAGTATTTGGGTCACTAGACAATATTGTTCCAGTAGCTTCACGATATGCCTTATATAAACAAGAAAAAAAATTCACCATCAGAATATTCAGACCATTGGGTTGATCAGTCTAGAATACTTTGACAAAAAGCATCAGTAAACTAGCAATGTGCTAGGCACACAAGCCTGTAAGATAAGCTTGTTGCGTTGGGAAATGAACAAAGAGGCCACATAACTATGTAAGGTACCAACTAAAAGCCAGCCATGAGAGGATCAATAAACTTAGACATGAGTATCTAAAGAACAAAAAGATATCTCTTTCTTATGCAAGCTCAATAAGGTATCAATAGTATGATACAACTTCCACCTAGCACGGATCAGCATAGAGTGTGTAGCAAACGAAGGGAATGCATTTCAGGTTGGTAAGCAAGGCATTAGGAAAAAGAAAAGTAATGTCATACTTCATATGAGTCTAATCAAATTGATTTTTACATAAAAATGTTGCAGCACGTTGAACAACTAATATCAAGAAGAACAAATATTTGTTTTTCAAGAAACTAGAAATAAAAGGAAACAACAAAATTTGAAAAACACAAAACATTTCTTAATTGAAAAGTGAAAACAAATCTATCAACATCTAATAATAAACAACTTCAAGCCTGTTATCCAAAGTTTGTCATAGCAACTCAATAATCATTTTCAACAGCTAATGGCTATAGAACTCCACTTATGCAACAAGGCTTATAGGAGAAGACTATTGTTTATTCTTGTCCATTATAATAGGTAAAATATCAATAACTTGCATATATTGCAGTCAGAAGACTCAAAACCAGACATCACACCCAATAATACTCATATAAAAAAAAAAAAAAAAAAATAAAAATAAAAAATAAAAAAAAAAACTTTGATCTTGCATGAGTTAGAATGAGTAAACAAAGAAAATGCAGCACAAGAAAGATAGAAACCCACCTCTCCATCAGATCCTCGTATAGTGACACGGTAGACAACTGTTACACTTCCATCATCAGAGAAGATAGCATCACGCACTTCTCCACACCAGCCTGCACATAACAATGAGCATCAACTTTGCTGGAGGTTAAGTGGGAAACTAAAGATCTTACATCAGTGAATACTTCCTACCAGAAGTTCAGTCATATTTACTTCATTTCTGAACAAAGAACTAATGGAAACAAGCCAAGCAACCTTTCATTCATCACATGGGAAAAGTAGCATTCAACTGATGTTACTGACCCCCTTCTGTGGACATAAGCCTTTTTAAAGACATTGTTATCAGTTATCACCAGAACAAAAATCAATGTCATCACATGATCCATGAGTGTTTTAATATTCTCTGGTCATACGAAGAGTTTAAATCATCATCTCCTTGTTGATTACGATTTTTATCAAATATAAGGGCAACAATTTGATTTTTGAACTGTTCATATACTTCCTCTATACTATATTAGTTGAAAGGTATTCCTTTTAAGAAAATTTCTTTAAGTTGACACTTTTCTATATTTGGTAAGTTCATTAATATATCAATTTTACCCTTACTAATTTCTATTATTCTCTCTTCTCCCTCGTCCCTTCACCAATCCTCTGATCTCTCACTACTCCATTGTCATCCTCCCCACTCCACCAAAAACATCAATGCCACTGCCACCACCAGTCCACCACAACTTCACCAATCCTCAGATCTCTTCTCTCTCCTGTCTACCTAGTAACATGCCCAACTATCCAGCAAAGCACAAGTTGTAGAATGGATCTAGCCTCTATCTTCAATCTCCCTTCTCTACTTCGATCTCTTTGCTTAAATCTAGAAATCTTCATTGATTTTAGGATATGCATCTGAATTTATTCCCTCTATTTTTCTCCAATTTATTTCTCAAATTCTTCATATTTTCTCCATAAATCATACCAAAATATTGGAGAAAATAATAAGGAAAAAAAAAAAACTGGTGCAAAATCGTCTAAGTTTGATAAGATTGTTGAATTAATTCAACCAACATTGGATTTGAAGCTGTACAAAACTTTTGGAATTTTTAAGTGAGTTTATATTTGATTGAAGAACAGAGAGAAAGAGGACGAGATTTAGAGAGTTGCTGATTTCTCTGGAGATATGGGTTGAGGAGTGGAGGAAAGTGAAGGTAACTGTGACTAGTTGAAGTGCAGGCGGGTTAAGAACGGGTGGGTAATTAATTTGTATATAAAGGGTATTTATGTGATTCATCTTCTACTAACACTTATATGTATGCCAAAAAGAAACGTGTCAACTAATTTGGAATGGAGGAAAAACTAAATTTGACCTTTGTTTGTAATAATATAAAAAATGTTGTGATGTAAAATGTAGGTGATTAGTCTAAATGTACAATTTCCTATATCATACTCCCGCCGTCCCTAAATATAGTTCCCATCATCCATTTTTGGCAGTCGTAAATGACCTTTGCATTTCTTTTTTGGAAAAGATATATGCAGCCCTTAAGAAGTTAAAAGTGGAAAGAATAGACATTAAATAAACATATATTACACCGATTTACTCGTGAATTGTCAATAAATTCTCAACTTAATACTAAAAAAGGAAGTATATTAAATGCTTATATGCAGCCCGCATATAGCATTACCCTTCTTTTTTTACCATTAATTGATCCTTTGTAATTACCCATTTGCCCTCATTTTTTTTTTTTGTCTTTATTAGGTTAAGTATCAAAAGTTCCCTCTAATTTCTCCTACTCTTTGTGCATCATTGACTTATGCATATCAATTTGGCTTCTCCACGTACTTTTAATACCTTTTCTATCAACTCTTTTTTGCAAACGATTATCAATTTGGCTTTCCCTTGTACTTTTAGTACTTCATCCTCCCAATTCCTAATTCCCGTGTTATTTTCCAAGCAAGAACTATTTAGGGATGGAGGGAGTAGTTTAATAGTTTTTACAAATATACAGTATAAATTAAGTTATTAATGATACAGAACGCGCATTGATACCCTATTCTTCTTTTCATTGGATTGGACGAGAGCTTACTTGTTTCTGCCCCCGCTCCATTACTAGACAACCAAAAAGGTAGGAAATGGGAACAGAAGAAATAATAATTAATTGACTAGGCAAAAACGAACTAAAACTCCTGCAAATATTCTGTAGAGAATCCTATACAACAGACAACGGGGAAAATAGAAGCAGCAAAATCAAGATCAGACTGCAAGCAGTGAACAGAGTTATAAGGCACAACAGGCAAACCAAAGGACTTTCAGTTCAGCCTAATCCATCTTCAACTACAAATAAAATTTTAAAGAAAAAGATAAAGAAAGAAACATATGCAGCATTAATACCCTATCCAGTTCATTGCCTAAATATCTATATAATGTTAAAAAAAAAAAAAAAAAAATCTGTATATCCATGCAAAAATGAATCCAAACAAAGCAGAAATAGTTTTAAAATAGCACCATCACTAAAATGCTGCCATATAAACAGCACCAAAAAGCATTATACCAACCTCCAATTATTTTAAACTATTTTCAGTCAAAGAAAAGCATATTGATTCATAAATTAGCAACAAAGAAACGAGGACCTGTAGACAACAAGCATACTATTTCTAAATTACCCCAAGAAAATAGTAAAAGACTTGTAGACAACAACAATCTTTAGTCATGCCAATGGTAAGCTTAATCCGTCAACTTGAAACCATAAGATGGCCAAGGACTCTAGATACTTTAAAAGCGTATTAAGCTCCTTTTAAATCAGCCTTGACATTAGATGATCTCCATGATAATGGACAATACTCTGCTAGACTAAAAGCCAAATTTGACAATATCAAAAGAAAAATGGGAGATCAACCATTGTAGTCACTCCTTTTGTCCCACAAAAAATAGCCAAGTGGACTTCTTTGAGGAGTCAGGAGAGTAATTAGCGAGTTATATTTAACCAACAATAGGGTATATAAGAGGGAAGAGAAAAAAGAATTTGGTTAAACACGAATATATTGATCAAATGGATTTTTTTATTCTGGGCAAAGAAAGACTGTATGCTTCATTCCCTATCATACAATGAATTAAATCCACCACATTACTGTAAATTTGTAAGCTTCCCATGCACAACTTTAGATGGTAGTTACTGTAAATTTATAAGCTTCCCATGCACAACTTCAGATGGTAACCAAGCAAATTGAAAGGCAAATACTTCAAATAAAATTCACCATCAGACTAAGAAAACCTTGCAACATTACTATCCTTATCCCTACATTAGAGGCAACTTCATGTTAGGACCTGAACAATGATTGCCATCTTCCTTGGTAACATATAAAGGAACTCTCCATTGTTTTTTCCTAGGCAATATAGATCACGACTTTACCTTTATAATGACAAAGTTCTTTGTTATTTGATTCTGCAAGCACTTCTTGACAAATTGTTCAAATGACATCTTGGACAAAGACAAACCAAATGTGCTAAAAAACAAGGTTATCGGGGAAAGAGGGCTATAAAGAGTGGACAAAATTAGACATCAGTCCATGAAAAGGAACAAGAAAAGCGCAACCGTGGAATGCATGACGATTTCAAACATATGGAAAGGTAGTGCCATGAAGGCCCATGCTACTTGAAAGGGTGTCAAAGCCCTAAGATCATGTCGCCAGCCGAAAAAGTCCCAATACACGTAGAACCAATTATATAATACTAGGTATCCCAAGGAATACGAAAGTCGCCTCCAAAGATTCATCAAGGTACTTTCTACCATCCTGGTGCAAATCAAAACCCTTCCGCGCCAGCCCCGGTCTTGAAAAGCCGGGTGGAGCTACAAATAGGAGGATGGAAAGGGAAGGGACCAAGCTCAAAGTTATTAGTTATTACTATCTTAACTACTTTCAGTACTTTGTTTAGGAGTTGACTTAGTTTTCTCTTACGCTTAAGGTAGGGAATTTACTAGTAATTTTACCCTCAATAGACCTTGTTAAATCATCCAATAGAGCTACAAAGAGGAAAGAACTCAATGCTAACCTTTGGTCTAGTCCAATTGTAGTAGGAAAATCCTTCATTACTCCATCCCAAGAGCTTAAGTTTGATTATACATTCAAATACATATCCCTATCTATTTCAATATATTTGTGAGGTATACCCTTTTTAGGATTTTCCCAACAAAGGGCATCTCTTGACACCTTATCATAAGCCTCCCCCCCCCCCACCTCCCTTCTCACTTGCCCTTAAATCACAATAACACACTAAAAAAAGCTCTTGAATGCATCTGTGTCCATCCGACCACCTCATGAATCATGTGACTAATTAACAATGAGGAATAAATGCAACAATGGATATTGGTGAAAGGATTATAATAATAAACCCTAAAAAAAAAAATTACACTCATTTGCCTTATCAAATGAATAACTTCTACGGACTACGGTAGACCGCCTCAACATAAACCCAAATTTGTGCTCAGAAATACTCATACATGTCCTAAATCTATAGTCTATCACTATTTCCCTAAATTACATGGTATGACTCATGAGCTTTATCCCTTTATAATTAACGCAGCCACTTTGTTCTTTTAGATGGTACCAACGTGCTCCTCCTCTTATTTTGAGGTATCATATTAGTCCTTCAAATCTTGTTGATGAAAAAAATTAGACCCAGTCATCTCCAAACCTCATAGGAGATGGCTAACTGCCTTCATTAATTCACTCTTCAACGCCTATTCTGTCGTCATTTTCAATTTACACATAAATCCTCAATAAAAATGGCTCCAAAGACAACAATTTGACTTACAATGAACAACTTGACAAAGTATCCCCTATATCTTTCCTAAATGTCTTCATCTGGATTTTATCTTTCACGCATTTCATGGTATTAAGATCCTTGTAAAACATTTGTCTACTTTTGGGTATCCTATAAGTAGTCTCATTTCTCATAAGCCTCCAAATAATACTTCTCTGTTGCTTGTCAAACTGCTTCTTTTGCCTTAGCTTTGGCATCCTTGTATATAACAATATCCTCGTCAATCTTATCCCTGCTTTTAAGTCCTTATTCCACCACAATGTATATTCAAACTATGTTGCTTTCCCCTTTGCTTCTCCTTGGCTATTTTGGAGAAACAACTCTCCATCTTTAACCAAGTCAAGTCGGGATTTGCTTGTGAGTCCCAATCTACTTGTGAGAAACATATTAACTACTTTTATGTCCCACCATCTTATTCTACATCGGAATCTAATGCTTAAAGATAGACACAAAGTTGTCGTGTAACCACTAGAGGTGGTGTCGTGGTGGCTTGGTAGCAAAGACAAAGATGATAGTAGTTTAATATATAAATCCTAGGAATTTCGTTAGGGGAATAACTTCCGGGGAATGACAAGGGAATTTATTTCCCGTGTGAACCAAACAAGGCCTTGGTTGAATGGGGCTACATCGATTATTACATGTGAGATAAACTTGGTAGTCCTTATCCACCATTCTTTTTCTAAAACTCTGTAAGCTCTAAAAAACTGCAAGCCTTATTCCCAAGAGATCTATCTCTTATGTGAGTTTATCATATTAATATAAGCTTACAAGTCCTCAAACTTACCCACATAACATCACATCATGATCAAGAGATTTGGATTATGACCAAAGTAGTAATTCTAGGAAACACAACATTCCCAAGAGATTGTATAAATAACAATCTGTAATATGCTTATATTTAATTAAAAAAAAAAAAAGGGATTGAGAGGGTACCGCACCTGGGGCATAGAAACTCAACATTCGATTAGCGTGGTACCTAACGACAGCAAGTTAACATCATGAAATCAATAGCCAGAACACTTAACAACATGAAATTGAATAAAACATAGTAACAGTTTGTGGAGACAAACCATGGAATGATTTTGGAGTTGGGTTTGAGGATGTTATCAGGAATTCTTTTGTTGAGATCTCGGAGGATCTCGGCAAGTGGACGAGTGATGCAAGAAGCAGATTTATCAAGGGGTACCACATAATTAGAGTTGGGGACTGCGCCACCCTTCTTGGCGTCTCCGCCGCCGACGTTGCTCTTGTTATCTAGAGCTGCTGCTACCATTAACCTCTGCTTGTAACCCACTTTTACTGGAGAAGAGGGAGACCTCAATTTTACTTGGAATCGATTATCTGTTAAAGTTGATTTGGAGAACAAACTCGCATTTCGGAGTGCCATCACCACAACGATAGACAATATGCTGACTTTCTCTTCACCTACTACGCCTATGGGATTGAAAAATGAAATCAACAAACAAAAGATTTGGCATTACCTTATTTGGACTGCTAATATCAGTGAGGGCCAATTTTGACATTTTAGAGGAAGCAGGGGGAAGAACAAAGGTGAGAAATCAAAGGAAGAGAGATGGAAAATTGTTAGTGGGCCCACTATCACGTCATTCTATAAGGTTTAGGAAAAGAGGTAGTTTTTGATGTTTTGAATAATTGTTAATGGTAAATTTTTTAAAATGAGTATAATAATAGGTGGTATTTTTCAACAAAGGGTTATTTTGATGTTTTGAATAATTGTTAATGGTAAATTTTGACATGTTAGTGTTATTAGAGTTACTCCTTTTTTTACAAGCATAATATTAATATTAAGTTAAAAGAAGTTAAGTTCAATAAAGTTAATTTCAGTTCAATAAAAATAATTTTAATTAAGTAAAAATCAGTAATTTTGAAGAATAAATATAATAGAAAATTAGTAAAAATTAGGCCAAATTAGAAAATAACACCTGCTAAAGACCCCGATTTTGATAATAACACCTGTTGAAAAAAAAGTTTTATTATAACACCTCCAAAAATCCCAAAATTTTGGTTTCACCACCACTTAACTTTTCCATCCAAAAAAACTGTTAAGTGGGGCCCATAATTAACACGTGTCAATAATCTATTGGTTTAGAAAATTAAAAAAAAAAATCTATCCCCAACCCCAGCCAACCCCACCGCCGGAGCCACCTGCCCCAACACCGAAACCCTACCTTAGGCCGTCAGCATCCTCTGTCCCCACCCAAAACCGACGAAAACCAGCCCCACCACCCGTTCTTTCCTTCCCACACCCTGAAAACCGACGGAAACCGACGAAAACCACCATCCATTCTTGTCTCCTGCCACCGCAACATCACGCCACCACCGCCTACCTCAGCAACATCACCGAACTCGCCTTCCTTACATTCTTCATCGCTCTGAGTTCGGTGATGTTGCTGAGGTAGGCGGTGGTGGCGTGATGTTGCGGTGGCAGGAGACAAGAATGGATGGTGGTTTTCGTCGGTTTTCGTCGTTTTCAGGGTGTGGGAAGGAAAGAACGGGTGGTGGGGCTGGTTTTCGTCGGTTTTGGGTGGGGACAGAGGATGCTGACGGCCTAAGGTAGGGTTTCGGTGTTGGGGCAGGTGGCTCCGGCGGTGGGGTTGGCTGGGGTTGGGGATAGATTTTTTTTTTTTAATTTTCTAAACCAATAGATTATTGACACGTGTTAATTATGGGCCCCACTTAACGGTTTTTTTGGATGGAAAAGTTAAGTGGTGGTGAAACCAAAATTTTGGGATTTTGGAGGTGTTATAATAAAACTTTTTTTTCAACAGGTGTTATTATCAAAATCGGGGTCTTTAGCAGGTGTTATTTTCTAATTTGGCCTAAAAATTATTTCAATTCAACAAAAATAATTTCAGTCCCGTAAAATTAATTTCAGTTTGGTAAAAATAATTTCAATTCAGCAAAAATAAGATGAAGTGAACATGGCCTAATTCACATCAGACAGTCAGGGGAGAGGTGATGAATCAATAAAACAGCCAATGCCGATCAAGAAAAAAAACGAGGAAAAACTCAAGTTTATCTTCGTGATAAACTAAAAAAAGTGTTTATCTAAGTGACATTTATGTAAATAAGTCAACGACTTTTATTAAATACGGCTTTATTCACGAAAATGTCATGTTGATTGGGATATTTTATTGATTTATTTACCGAAATGTCACTAGATAAACAATTTTTGTTTATCTTGAAGAAAAACTGAGACTCCGTTAAAAACGAGAAAGGAAGTAGTTTTTTTTAAGGGGAAGGGAACATTACCTAATTCAGGTAAGAAAGGAATTCCTCGATACTGGTTTGGTACTAAAGATGGGAAGTACTCGGTCCGATCAGGCCACTGTCTAGCTAAAAATGGGTACGAAACCAACAATGTATCGAATTGGGATGATGTCCATGATGATGTGTGGAAAATGGTGTGGAGAGTCCAAGGTCCACCAAAGCTCCAACATTTCTTGTGGAATGCAGTTCGAGGCAACTTGGCTGTCAAGGATAGGTTGCAATACCGTCATATTACGCCTGATGCTCTTTGCCAGACTTGTGGTGCAGAAAGGGAGACCATTATTCACTCATTAACAGAGTGTGTGGCAGCAAAACCAATATGGAGTTGTAGTGACCTGCGGTCAAACCTTGAAGGGGCGCCTTTGGATTCTTTTGCAACTTTATGGGAATGGTTAAATAGGAAATATAGTGCAAGAGTTGTGTGCTTAATGGCAGCTTTAATGTGGGCTTCGTGGAGATGTCCAAACATGCTTGTTTTTGGGGATGATAGGCCTGATTTGTGATCTTGGCTGCTGGATTTAATAGACTGGTGCAGGACTATAATGCCTATGCTAAGAAGGTGTTCCTACCTGCTGCTGCTGCTGCTACGGGAACTCCAACACTTGGAGGTGTCCTTGTAATATCCCGTATTTTTATACGTATTTTAATTTAAATTATTATTTTATAAAATATTTAAATAATTTGAAATGAATTATTTATGGTATTTTATTAATTTAAAAAGGTTTATTTTAATTAAAGGTCCATTTTTATTTATTTAACTTGAAAATATTTTATTTTATTATTTAAAAACTTTGGGGCACATTATTTTATTAAAAAAAAATTTAAAGTCAATGGAAATTTAAAGGAAGTCAAATGACTGGTTTGAGTAGGAGAAGGGATTATTAAGGGTAGAAAGGGAATTTAAGGTTATGTGGGTTTTGAGATGGGGTATAAATACTCATCTTATGAGCAAATTAGATCTTGCCCAAGGTGGAGAATACCCAAAGATAAACTCTCTCTCCTCTTATTTTATCTCCCTTAATTTTTCCCCTTCCCCTTTATTTTTATACACCCCACGCACACACAAGGTGGCCGGACGCCACCACCACCTCCCAACGGCCGGCCATCGCCGCCGGCAGCAGCCCCCTCCCCGTCGTGCGGTTGTGCGAGTTAAAAAAAAAAACTCTTCTTGTTTTAATTTTTAATCTAGCATTGATTCAATTATTATTTTTGGGTTTTTTTGATGATTTTTATGATGTTTGATTATGATTATTATGTATATAATTTTCAAATTTATTTTTTGAATTAAAAAGCCCCAAATTGAAAACCTTAGATTTCTAAATTAATGTATATTGATGGAAATTTATTGTAGTTGGTTGGAATTATTGAAATAAGTGTTTTTAAACATCATTACGACGATTTTACATGTTTTTATAAAGCTGAAACTTTTATATAAAGGTTAGAATTATGTTTCTTGAAAGGATTTTTATTTACCCATTAATTGGGAATAAAAGAGTGTATATATTGCTGGTAATTTATATTTTCAGCTTGTTTAATTTTACATAAGTAATTTTCAGCTTGTTTTAGAGGGTTTATAAGTAATTTAAAGAGTGTATATATTGCTGAAAATTTATATTGAATAGGTATTAATATCTCTTTGTAATTTTGGGTTGTAAGAGATTTCCAAGTGAGTGATTTCGTGTAGTCGTGACGATTTTGAGATCATATTCGAGGTACGTTCGCGTACTCGGTAATTATTTAAGTGTGTGGTAGCATGCTAGGCTTTGTTCAATCAATTCCAATGTAGTATCATGATAGGTATTGGTTGGAATTGTTGATTGGATTGATGTTGGTGATTGAATTGTGAAGTATGAATTATTTGTGGTGAATTGATGATTGGAATTAATTATGTTGGCATGTTGAATATGAACCACACTTTTATTATTGGCATGATTGAGAGCATGTTTAATTAAACTAAATGTTTAATTTGGTTTGGTATATAAAAAGGGAATTTTATTATGGTTCATATAATTTTTATTGATGTTTAAGCATGGAAATTGAGCTATTAAGTATCTTAGCACACAGGAATAAAATGTATTGCGGTGCCTAAGTGCGTTTAAGGTGTTCTAAACACCAAGGGATAGGATTTGCGGTGCTTTATGCGCTTAAGGTGTTATTTAACGCCGATATAGTTTAAAAAGGGTTCAACATTTAATTTATGTGGTCACTAAGTATTCAAGAATTTAATTGGAGTGTTTGATTTCTTGAATGATTTATTATGATTAATTGCATTATGGTTTGAGAGTCATCACCAAGTCTAAAAAAATATGTAGATCACGTAAAGTGAAAGAGATTATGCACCAAAACTATTGGAACATATATACTTCGAATATGAACATATGGGGGGAGTTATGCGACTTTATATTTGACCATAACTTCTACTGGGAGTACAGGACGTTGTATTTTCCTATATTTATTTTATGCGTAGGACGTCCAGTCACTTTCATGTGGCATTTGTCAACCCAGTTAGCTCCCAGTGTAGTTTACCTCAATTTATTTGGAGCAGGGATTTGGTGGGAAACCTGTTCGATGCGTAATAAAATTAAATAAGCAATTTATTTAGCTATTTATTGGTTGTTGTATTGTATGTTTGTTGCAACAAGGTAAGTTGTGTGTTGATAGGATGAAAACATGTTATTGTGTACTATTTATGCTTATGTACTCAGCATTGTTGATTGTGTGTTTGTATGTCTATTTGGCTTAGTCTTTATCTTGACCCGACAACGACCCATTTCTAATGGCGAGTAGTGGGGACAAAGTAAATAGAAGCGTTTCAGGTGATGAAGCATATTCACGATGGGCATGAGTGAAGAGCGAATCATGCTTAGTTTCTATAAGAATATGATGTGGTTTATTGTTTTGATTATCATATATTTTGCTTGTAAGACTAACACAAAGGTTTTTAAAATTCGTTTTGGGGTTGATAAGGGCCTACAATGGTTCCAAGTTGTAGGTTGACTTCGTTTGACTTTGGTTTGACTTTACTTTCGTTTGGTTTGACTTTTTAAGATAACTTGTTTTGAATGATTTTTGAAGTGAGTCTTCCGCTGTGAGTCTTTGATAATTGTCTTAGTTGTTTTCACGGTGGCGGCAATGTCTTACAATTTCCTATTTCGTACTTTAAAAGGAGCAAAACAAGTATTTTAAAGGAAAAGAATTTGTAGGGTGTTACAGTCCTTCACCGGATGCTTG